AACTGGAACATCCTACTAGGAGTATTTCCCTATTAAGTTCAAAAGAAGAAAGGAGACCGCCTTTAATGTCTAGTTTGACATACACATTCCAATTAAAAAATAGTCTTTGAACAGGAGATCCTATTGAATTCAGTTTTTTCAGAATTCACTAGTATTCGCACGCATGTGGCATCGCCGAGGAATTGCAGCCACTGGCCCTCTGGCTCCAAGTAAAGCAGCAGGCCGCGCTGGGCAACAGCGGGAAGCAGGCAGTGCACGGGCAAGGCCAAGATCAGCCTCGGTTGCCCAGCACTCAGCAGTGGCAATGCGCCAAACGTCCGCTGCACTGGCAAGCGGAGAGCCTAGTGCGGCCAAGGAGAGCTCCCTCCGCAAGGAGCGTGGGCTGCGCAGCAAGGCCTGGGAAAGGCTGTTACAAAAGCAGTTCCCGTCTCCGGAATTTGTCAAGATGTCAGAGCTGGTGGTCGGCGCTTTGCAGGGTAGGCGTGCGGGGATAACGGATGCCCCGCTGACACGAGCTTGGGAGCCCATGTCGCGGCCCCCGGCACTTGGTGAATGAAGAGGGCGGAGCGCGGGCGGATGGCTGCCTCAGCTCTTAGCCACTTGCTTCCCTGTTACGTTGGACTTATCGTTTTGGATAGGAAGTCGAGTCGCCATGGGACAATGAAAGCCCTCTCTCTCAACCGGATGTTCTGCAACATTAGAGTTGTTTGTTGAGCTCAACCTCTGCGCTTTAGGAAGCCGCACGGAAAGGGCATCCTCAATCAGTGGAATCTAAAGCGCTTTCCAAACAATGTCCCGTCGCTCTGGCTCTCTCAGTTTTATCTTTGTGGCTTAAGAAGCCATGCTGGAAGGGTATTGCCGAACTTGAAATTCAATTGAACCTCACAGGCTTCGCTTTGAATTTGACAGGTTTCGCCAGGACGGACCACCAGAACTGCCTCGCCCCCTGTTCCTCCTTTCCATACGCGTGAAATCAACACATTCTGATTCCACAAATTAAGTAGGCATTCCAGGACGGGTTGTCCGGCAGCAGGGTGCCATCCAGCGTGTCAGTGCCAATCCGGCGCGGTTCTTCCATCCGGCGCGGCGCTGCCAAGACAGCCCGCTTTGCAGGCAACTTGCGACAAGATTGGCGGTTTGCGCTGCGCTTCGCAAAAATGTTTACACCATTTGGGGTGCGACTTTGGCTCAAGGAGAGGAAAAAAGGGAAAGAAAAGAAAGAAAGAAGGAAGCAAAACAAAGGAAACAAGGAGAAAAGAAGGGCGGAACATCTAGCTTGCTCAATTAGGCAACCATAACTTTTGACAGCTCTCACGCTGGGCTGGGAGACCAAAGGCCGAGTCTGGGCGGGCGGGTCACTCTCTCTCTGTCTATTGCCTTTCGTTGTTTTTCTTTACGCTTGTTCTCCTTTTTTTTCTGTCTGTAATTCTTTCTTTCTTTCCTTCCTTCTTTCTTTCCTTTTGCCTTTCTTTCTTTTTCTTTCTTTTTCTTTCTTTCTTTGCTTTTCCTTCCTTTAACTATTTCTTTCTTTTTCGTTTCTTCCTTCTCCTTCCTTCCTTCCTTCCTTCCTTCCTTCCTTCCTTCCTTCCTTCCTTCCTTCCTTCCTTCCTTCCTTCCTTCCTTCCTTCCTTCCTTAGTTATTGCTTCCTTGCCTCCTTGCTTTTGTTGGATTTGTCTGCTTGTTTGTCTGACGGTCTTTTTGCTCTTGATTTGCTTGTTGCTGTTTCCCACAAGCTTTTTGTCGCATGGCTTTCTTTCTATTTTTTTAATGTCAGTTTGCGGATCGTTTGGTTGCTTGCGCAGTCAGCCTTTTCAACGGGGTTGCTCAACGGCTTTCTCAAAACACAAGCGCAGCGTGCGCGTGTGTGTGTGTGTGCGTGCACCCACATGTGTCCCAATGCAAATTCTTGGAAAGGCAGGTTCAAAAGAGGCCGTCGGTTTTGCGAGCCGCGTGGGCCATGAGCGAGCAACCTTCTGGCCCCAGCCAGGGCCGCCCGGCTTGAAAGCGCAGCTTGTGTTGTCAGTGTTGTGCCATTTATAGTGAGCCGTGTCAAGCCCTGCGCAAGGCACAAGCTTCCTGAAAAAGATTTCAGCCAGCAGCCCCAAGCTTGTTGACAACGCGCCAGCCACTGACTTTCGTTGGCAACTGGACAGGGCAAAAATTTTCTTGCAGTTCTAACACCTGAGCTTGTTCTCAGGAAGATGATGAGTGTGCCATTATTTCTGGCCATGAGGCCTCAGACTCAGAGGCCGGATTCACGTAGCGTTTGCTGCCCACCCTTTTTCCGCGCAGGCGGATCTTGCAATCAGTGATGCCCTGCAGCGTCCAGCCACTTGGAATCCGCCTGACCAGGTGCGCAGCAGTTGGTGCTCTCGCCCACACGACCCCCAGACCGGTGTATTGTAACTGATGCTAGGCCCGTATCCCGGCTCCGAGGAACCTTACGAAATTGATCTGGCGGAGTGGGGCGATCTTAAGCACCACGAGGATTGGGGCTTGTTTGAGGAGTGCTTGAAGAACCCGCACATCTCGATCCACCCCCTGGAGCAAAGTGGGTTAAAAGCAGATATTAAGCAGAAGGCCAAAGCCAAGGCCAAACCTTCGCCTCTCGGCTGGTGACTGTTGGGGCAACTTGCAGTTGGGAACAATCACCAATCGTTGCAGTTACCCTTTTCGGTTTGTTTCAGGCCAACCAAAGAAGCCGCCCTCAAAAACATATACCTGTGCGCGTTTGTCAGATTGGTGTAACCTCGGTTAGGGGGCAAAAGCCGAAGAAGCGCTCAAGAACGTGGAGGTCTCAACACAAGTAAAGATTGATCGCGGCAGCGTTGTGTCGAACAAGGTGTGGGTTGCCAATCGCTCGTCACGTCTATCCGTTTCTTGAGAGGGGAAGCTGCGCTAATTCCGGACATGTGTCGCTGTTTTTTTGGGCGGGGGGAGCTTTCTGTTTCCACAGCGCGTCAGGTGTCAGTTCTGTGAGACGCTCATTCCTGCCTGCAAAACTCACGCTTGCCGGCGTGCTTTGCCTCAGCCAGACGCGCGACTGCTTTGCCAGCAATCTTCTCAATGCAGTTTGGCTGGAGCTGGCTAGGGCTGTTTGGTAGGTTTTTGAAGGGTGGAAGAAGAAAGTACAAGACCGAGAACAAATTCTTGGAATACTTCTTGGCGGTTTTTTCTTCCAACCTGATTAGAATCGCCCAATGAAGAGATCCGGGAGCAAGTACTGTGGGACAAGAACAAAGGCGCAGACAATCTCCGAGAATATCTTCACCCATTGTCTTCGGGAAGATGACCAAAGCCGATTTCTCAAAACCGGAGACTTAGTCCCTACTGGCAGCCTTCACATTTCGCAGGTGTCAAAATGCATGCGATGGGCCGCAGGCGACGAATTTGGCGGTCGCTTTTTTACTAAAGCTGCCTGTGAGGAGGCAGTCAACATTTTGATCACCCAGTACGGCATCAGGGTTCCACTGCAAGCTACGCAAACGTTGCATGGATGGAGTGTTGAACAGGCGTCAAGAATCCAGTATATCGCGGCTCGAGCGCGACGGAACACTTCTGCGCGTTGGTGGTATTACCATCACTGGCACTCCCCCATGGACCATGAGGAAACTCAGCCGATGGCGCCTAGCCAAATTTACAAGCGTGTCTTTTTTATGTTTCTCCTCCCCATGTTCGACGCATCAGGCGCCGGAAGATTGGCCGGACCTTCCTGTTCCCAAGGAGCCGAGCTTTGACCAGACCCGTTTTTAAGACTAGTAAGCTGTTTTCATTTTCCACACAACAAGAACAATTCAGCCGCGCATGTCGAGCTAACAGGGGCCTCACGCAACCCTTTTTTGGGGGGTTGTAAAAGGCGCTCAGCATGCAAGTTCTTTTGGCAAAGATTTGAGGCGTTTGGGACTGTCTCAAAATCAAGGAGCCCGTGAAAATCTTGGTTTCCATTTGCCCCGCGTCTCAAAAAGAAGGGCCCGCTGAGCGGCTTGCAGGAGCCTGGTGCAGGCGGGCAAGCTCCTGGAAACATTTGCTTGGGCGGCATCAAGCGGAAGAAGGAGGGTGTGTTGTGTCACGCCAAGTCTACTTTCAATCCCTGTTGGTTGGGTAGGACCTGATGCCTCCACCGACTCTACTACCTGCGCGCCTCCAGGGGTTGCCAGCAAACGGTGACCAGGACCCGGTTCGAGTTGCATTTTTCAGAAATCCAGCCCTGAATGTTGTTGCAAGGAGTCTGGCGGGGCAGAGCAAGCCAGCCCTGAAGGTCAGCTGAACGTCAAAGAAGCTGGGGTCTCAGCAACAAACTGTGAAAGGAAATGAGTGACCTTGTTACAAAGACTTCTTGAAAATGTCCATTACAAATATGGAAGATACCTGGTGTGTGAGACCTAGCATGTGCCAAGGCAAGGGGAGCCCCAAAAGTGGTTGTTTCTTTTGCGGCCTGAAAGCCAGAAAAACACACACACGGACACCCGGTTTGCTGACTTGGCCAAGGCTGGCCAATCCGCAAAAGCGAGCTTGCCCGCCCAGGCACGCCTTGCCGCACGTGCTTTTGCGCCAGCTTGCCTGGTCAGGTCGAGCCCGGCAACAGCACCAAGAATCTGAACCAGGAGTCAGTTGCTGAGGCATGTGCCTGGAACTTACCATGCAATTTTGGGCTTGTCTGAAACTGTGCTTCGGAGGTTGGGCCTGCCGAGAAGAACACCCAGGCTGCCTGGATCCCAGCCTTGCAAGGGTCCTTTGCATCCCGGATCTACTCAAAATGTGTGAAGGGGTACTTGCTTGGCGCCTGCGATTGCCCAATTGCGCGTTGATGCAATTCCCCCTTTGCGCCGAAAGGATCATACAAATTTGCGGCAACCCTTGCTTGCCCTACGAAGGTGGGTGAGGGCCCAGCTGCCGAGGCGCCTGCCTGGAACTTACTCCTGACCTTCACCCAACGATTTTTTGAGACCTTAAAAGCTCTGAACGATTCTCCGTTTTGCCCCCAAGCCCTTCCAAGCCTTCTGCAGTCGAAGCCCGCCATTGAGCCTGACCAGGCAGGCAACGCGCCAGATTTCATTCTGTCAAAACCTCTGCGAGTGATTGTTGCGCAGGACTCCCAAATGTGTTGGCGGATCAGCAGTGACGAAAGCCTGCCCAAGCCAGAAAGCACCGCCGCAGAACAAACATCCAACCAAACAAGCGATGATGAGAAGGCAGGTGCGTGTCAGGAAGGTGAGGAGCAGGAATGGGCATGGGGCGAGGGTGAAGGTGAGGATGACTGGAGCGAGGATAAAGAAGGGAACGAGGATGAGGCATGGAACGAGGATGACTGGAAAGAGGAATGGAATGAGGAGTGGAATGAGGATGAGGAATTGAATGCTGAGGAAGTGAAGGAGGAATGGAAGGAGGAATGGCAGGAGGAGGAATGGAAGGAGGAATGGCAGGAGGAATGGAAGGAGGAATGGAAGGAGGAATGGAAGGAGGAATGGAAGGAGCCAGACCCAGCCGAGCCACCAGCCGACAGCAAGGATCCAGCCAAGATTTCGCAGAAACTGCAGCAGCTAAGGCCAGTTCTGCGGGAACAGCCTGCAAACAAGCCAAGGGCAAAGCCAAAGTCAAAGCCTAAGCCTAAGCCGAGCACTTCCAGCAGCAAGGAAAAAAAGCCGTGGAAGCCAACCCCGTACGCGCTCTTGAAAAAGAAGTTCTTGGAGCCGCTTGAGTCCTACAACCGAGCTGTTCAGGAAAAGAGGCAGTTTTCCGATTTTCTGAGACAAAAAGCTACTTGTTTGCTCGCGTCTTTTCTTGGCAAAAAGTTTGAACTTTGCTGACGGGGAAAGAGTCGCGTTTTCCTTGCAATGGCAGGTGGAAGGAGTCAAAGGAGCGTGCTGATTTCCTTGCAAATTTAACGCCGTCTGAAATCAAACGGCGCCGATACTAGGGGTGTGAGGGTTTGCCAGATGCACTGCATCTGAAGTAGTGGGGGAAAAGGCCTTGGCGCGCGCCCAAAGTTAGTGTGATGGATGCTGCGGTCGGAGAATCTAACCGTACAAAAACATGTTTTCTTTTGCAGAAAGAGACCAACTCAGAAGTCTCAAGCCGCTGTCACCCTTCACTGCGCGTTTCGTTTGGAGCTTTTGGGCTCAGAGTCAGGTTGGTTCCGTCAATCTTTGTAGCTTTGGATTGTTGAAACTCCCGCTTCGCCATGAAGTATTCGCTTCTCAACCTCATCTTAGCTTGCTTGGTGCAAAGTGGCTTGATTGCAGTCAATAGAGCGCCCTTGCGCGACTTACTAGCGGGTGTTTGCGCTCCCAGGCTTGGGAGAAGCTAACTCGGAGAACCAGCTAGACTTCTTGGAAGTCTTTGCAGGCGGGTTGCGCAGCTCAACCTTCATTTTCTCGACTATGCCCCCTACTTTAGCTTGCAGGCTGTCACATGTTGCACTCTGCGGCGGTGTTGGCCGGCATGGCCTCAAAGGCGTTGGACTTCAGGTACTCGCAGAAAATGGACCTTGAAGGCCCATTCGGGTATCTCTTAACTTTGAATTGCCTCCGGCATGTTCGCGAGCACGGCGTGGTGTGGTTTGCAATACCATGCGCGTCCTGGGTTTTTCTCAGCCGCGGCTCTACCCGCCGCAGCTCCTTACGCTTGAAAGGATCTGCTCGTTTTAGCAAAGTCCTTGCTGCCAAGCGGCTGCTGAAAAGAATCCTCTACTTGTCAGGCCCTTACGCGCGCAAAGAGCAAGGCACCGCGTGTAATTTGCACTAAAGTCTCGGCCACCTAACTCAACATTACGCTGCCAGTTGCTGAGGTTGCAATTTGCAAGATCCAAGAACATCCACTACGTGATTGAAAACCCACCAACAAGCTTGCTTTTTAAGATGCCGGCGCTGAAGGCCGAACGGTGGCGGTGTCAAAGCGTGCTTCAGTGTGCTTTGGATTTACAAGTTGTTTGGTGCAAAGCGAGGCTCTGCTCCGCAAGCATCGCGCCCGTGGTGTCTCGGTTGCTCTTGGTGCTCACGGCGCGCAATCCGAAAAACGCGTTGTGCTATGGGGCACAGCCCCATGGCTATCAGACCTTCCGCTTCCCATATCTCCGGCGCGGAGGCCTGAAAGTGGGGCTGCGCGAGTTTGAACGTTTTGTTGATTAGTTGAAACCAAAATCGTTTGCACTGGTGTTTGGCTCAGTCAGCGGCTTTGTTTGGAAGGTGGCAGCTGGCGCGGATTGCCAGCAAGCTCAACTTGCAAGTTACAAAACGCTCTCAAAATGCTGATGGGGTGCCAAAAGTGGCTGGACACTCAGATGTTCAAAGCAATCCTTCGCATCATTGATTGCCGACTTTAGGCCGGAGGAAAAGATCTTCGAGCTTCCCAATGCTACCCTGCTGGCCTGGGTCTAGCAGCGCCTGGGAGCGAACTTGGTGTTCGTGCGCCAGGCCTTGGATGTGCAGGATAGAGGGTGCCCGGACAAACATGTCTTGCCTTTGTTGAATTTCCACTTGACATAGGTTAGGCAAAGATTGCGCTTTCCAAATTTAGGTGTTGCGCATTGAGCGCTCTGGGCCTTTTGCAGGGAGCCCTTCACGCGTGTCTTTTGTTTTTCTTAGGGAGCCCCGAGGAGGCACGGCCACCGTAGGCGCCCAAGAGCCGGACTGTTTTACACGTGCGTTTGGAAGCCCGGCGATTTGGAAACATGCCGCTTAAAAGCGAACCCAAGTTGTTTGATCGGCCTCCCCCCAAACAAAAACACGCCACAAAGAAGTCCCTGGGAAAGCCAGGCGAAGGTTTCGTTTGTTGAAAAAGTAAAGGTCTGAGCCGTTTGACAGTAACTTTTGTTTGGCATCCATCTTGGGGCCCAGTTTACAAGCGCACCCATGTCTGGGAGGTTGTGCATCCATTCGGGGGGTGTTATGTTGAGCCCTTTCTGGGAAGGTAGGTTGGGCCCATTTTCTGAGAAGGCGATCTTGTTTTCAGGTACGGCTGTAGCCTGGCAAGCTGTACCCTCAGGTACACTCAAGCACACTCAAGTACACTCAAGCACACTCAAGTACACGAGCAAGTACACTCAAGTACACTCAAACGCACGCTCAAGCACAAGCAAATACGCTCAAGTACACACCCAAGTACACTCAAGTACACTCAAGTACACTCAAGCACATGCAAGTACACTCAAGTACACTCAAGTACACAGTACACTCAAGTACACTCAAGTACACTCAAGTACACTCAAGTACACTCAAGTACACTCAAGTACACTCAAGTACACCCAAGTACACCCAAGTACACTCAAGTACACTCAAGTACACTCAAGTACACTCAAGTACACTCAAGTACACTCAAGTACACTCAAAAGTACACTCAAGTACACTCAAAAGTACACTCAAGTGCACTCAAGTACACTCAAGTACACCCAAGTACACTCAAGTACACTCAAGTACACTCAAGTACACTCAAGTACACTCAAAAGTACACTCAAGTACACTCAAAAGTACACTCAAGTACACTCAAGTACACTCAAGCACACCCAAGTACAGTCAAGTACACTCACAGACACAGCATCCCAGCAACATTCCCAGCATGACCAGCAACCAGAAAGGGTGTTCATTTAGCCTCCAGACCGGGGGCGAAAAGGAGCGCCCCCCTTCCCTCGCAGCAGCCCCATCAACATCTTCAGCATCACCAACACCCCCAGCATCACCAGCAACCAGAAAGGGCGTTCATTTAGCTTCCAGACTGGAGGTTAAATGAACGCCCCCCTTCCCCCCCAGCATTATGAGCAACATCCCCAGCATCACCAACATTTTCAGCATCGCCAGCAACCTCGCAGGCGTTCATTTAGCCTCCAGACCGATGGCTAAATGAACGCCTTTGCTTCCCAGCATCCCCAGCAACACCGCCACACCCCGGCGTCCGCACACTCGACACACTCAAGCCCAAGCAAAATGCACACTCGGGTGCCGTTTGAGGGGGTTAGGCAAATGTCGACGTTTGCCTAGCCCCAAAACGCGGGCCTCCAGGTCGCTTTGGGTGCCTAAGCAAGCCCCAAAATGTGGGCTAACCCAAAAACGCGGGCCTCCAGGCTGTGTCCCGGGTGCCGTTTGAGGGGTTAGGCAAATGTCGACGCTTGCCTAACCCCAAAACGCGGACCTCCAGGCCGTGTCGCTTGCCCAAAACCCGTAAAGGGGGCACAACATTTTTGTACTTGGCTTAATTGGTTAGTTGGCCAACCCATTTTGGGCGAGGATCAGATCTGAAGAAATACTCAGTTCTTCCTGCGCCTCACTTTGAGCTCACCAAGGTTGAGGGGTCCAAAAAAACATAGCGCTTTTTTGTTGGGCGCCCAGGTGGCTCGCCTTGTGAAGGAAGACCTCGATCGCCACCCTGCTGAAGGCATCCGTCCTGACACAGGGTTGCAATTCGAGGATGTTTCTGGCTCAGAGTCAGAAACAGGGTTGGAGGACCTAGTGATGTCCGCCCCGGAATGACAAGCTGGGGTTTTTGGTTTGTACACTGCTTAGTGATGCCGCAGATTCACACCGTGTGCGAGCCGTGTAGTACCGTGTACTTCCGTGTATCCGGCGGGAGTCTGCTGCCACATTAGTGTACTAGCGTGTACTCGCGTGCACCCACACCTGCAAACACATGTGCGAGCAAACCCAGTGGGGCTGGGGCAAAAAGACACTGGCAACGGACCTGCTTGATGAGCGCTTGGGTTTGTGCAAAGCGAAGCTTGGGTATTGCAGGTAGCGCGGCCGCAGCGATTTTTGCTTTGCAGGTCTTGCTAGATTTGCCGCGAACTTTCTGAGCATGGCGCGCTCAAAGGACCTTGAGGACAGTGCTACGGAGGTGGAAGCAGTCGCTGTGGGCAAGGGCAAGCAGCTTGGCAAAGGAAGGGGCGCCAAAGGAAAAGGCGCTGACGGCAAAGGCGCGGGAGGGAAAGGCGCTGATGGCAAAGGAAAGAAAGGTGCAGATGGCAAAGGAAAGAAAGGCGCAGATGGCAAAGGGAAAGGTGCCGTTGGCAAAGGAAAGGGCGCGAAAGGCGCTGACGGCAAAGGGGGGAAAGGGGCCGCTGGCAAAGGCAAAGGTGCTGCTGGCAAAGGGAAAGCCGCTGCTGCAAAGGGTGAGGGGGCCAAAGGCGAAAAGGAGAAGCAGGATGATGATGCGGTGGATGAAGCAGTTGTGTCTGTTGAGACGCAGCTTGAGGAGACTTTGGATGAGGCCGCCGAGGAATCCTTGCTGGATCCGATGGAGGCCTGCGAGGGGCAGGTGTGGGAGAAGGTGCCGAGGCAAGCTCTTGACGCTCGCGTTGAGCGGATCAAGGCATGCAGCTTGTGGAAGGAGTTCCTCAAGGCCTGCGAGGCTTCCGAGCAGGAGGGCAGCGAACACTTTGGGGTTGGCGCAAAGGAGGAGGTTGTGGAGGACCTAAACCTGTGGACGGAGTTCTTGCAAAAGCAACCGGACGGGCAGGCAAGCAGAAACGAGGTTGGGAGGGCAGAGGAGGAGAAGCAGGAGAGCTCCAAGCAGTGGCCTAAGCTGTAGGGCTATCAGACACGGCGTTTGTTTTTGGGCCGAGGCCCTTGAACCGTGGGCGCACTACTACAAGCCTGGCGTCAGACGGAAGCGGGCCTGTGACTGTGCCGCCAGTGGCAGCTGTGGACTCGCGCGGGCGTGGACAGCGGGTGCCACCCTCAGGACGGCGAAGTGTGCTATAGTTTCGGGCTGCCGTGTTGAGGTGAGGACGCTTGATGAGGAGGAGCGGGCCAGGATCCAGGCGAGGGTTGCGCGTTTAGGGAGAGGCGGTTAAGGCAAGCGTTTTTGCAGGTGCGTGTGTGTGTGTGTGTGTGTGTTTGTGTGTTTGTGTGTGACGCGTAGGGCTTGTCTGCAATGCTCAAGTGTTTGCGTTTGATTTGTGGGCGGAGGTTGCCGCTTAGACAACCGCTAGCTCCTTCAACCGCAATTATAAGTTGAGTTCTTTTGGCAGGCGATGACGCAACCGAGCGACATGGATGCTGCCGAAAGGAAACGCCAGCACGCGGCGATGGACAGGCGATTCAAGTCGCCAGTCGGCCGGGCACTCGCGCGAAGCCGCTCCTACCTTTGACATGTTGTCTCTTCCAGGTTTGAAGCCTGGGCTTCTGGAGAAATACCGTGCTAGCACTGGAAAGCCGGCCGAAAAGCCGCTTCCTTACAAAAGGCGCAACAAAAGTTGCTGCGCGACTTTTTAGTTCAAGTTCCTGTCTTGCAAGCTGCACTCAGGTTCAAGCTTCTCAAGGCCTTTATGTTGGACCGCGATCTCAGCGACGTGTATGTCGAACCGTTTTTTGTGGAGCCACTTGGCCTTCTTTTTTACACAGAGCTGCGCTTCAGTACACTTGCCGGAAAACATGGGGTGGGCCTGAGGATGTCTCAATCGCGGGAGAGCGACGTTTACGATACAATCTCGTTGGCGCAGCTGAAGAAGGAGCTCACAACCCCTGCCGAGCTGGCTTTCCTGAAGACGATCCTTGAGAGTAAGGGACTTACAAGGTCAGCTTTTCAAACAGCGGTCAAAAACACTGTTCAACACTTCTTTGACTTCCATCCTCAAGATTGTTTTGCTGGGGGCGTTTGTCCAAACTACATGTAGCCCAAATCCTTGAAGAACCTTTGCGTGCTACTGAAACTTGAGCTGAGGCCAAAGTGGGTTGCCGCATCCACAGTCTCCGCACGACCCAGAGATGCGCTTGTACCGTGTCTTCCGGCGCTTCAGGGAGGAGAGCGCCCTGTCTAAGGAAACTTGTGTTTGACTAGTGGCTATTTCTCAAGCGAGTTGAAGTTGCATCAAGCTAAGGGGCTGACATCAAGGAGGTTGGTGTCAGAACAGGGGTGAGGGCATCTGTTGACCAGACTGAAGCAGCCCGAAATGCGATTGGTGAGCGCTTGGACACCATGATGGCAAGTTGCGACGGCCCCTCCCCACCGACTGGTCCTGGTGGCAATGGAAGAAAATCCAAAGGTGCCGGGAAGAACTCCAGCAAGAAGAACGCGAATGGGTCCTCGGCATCCGGCGGTCGCAAGTCGATAAGTGCAGAAGAACAAGCGCGGAAAGACTTCGATGCCAGCTTGGCTGCGCCCCTCAACTGTGGTTTGTAGTGCCCTCGCGGGTCCTCTTTGGGCGGGTCGGGGATGGGCGGAAATGCACTAAAGCTATCCCCTTGAGATCGCATCAGCGTGTTCACACCCTCTGAGCCAGCCATTCAAACTTTGCCCCAACTTATACTTAAAAAGAGCTTTGAGGGATTGCGCAAGCGCCAAACTTGGATCCCACTCTGTTTACAGAGCCCGTGGGCTTAGCAACGCGTTGTGCCACTGAAGCCCTAGGCAGAAACCACACACGTTGGGGAGACTCAGAATTTTGATCCAAACAAGAACTGGAAAAAGCAGTTCATTCTTTGTCACTCCAATGTCAAGGCGGACGCCCAGTTTCTTTACACAAGCCAGGACGGCACCAGCAGAATAACCCATGTGTCAACCTGAAAGCAGTTCATCGTTACCTATCGCTTAAGAAAGAACTGGCTTTGGCACACATCATCTTGGTGTTGGCTTTGAAGAGCTTCGAGATCAAAGGCCCTTCATAGTTGTTGTAGCTGCGAAAAACTTTCCAAGAACCCCAGCCCCTCCAAGGTGCGGGAAGCTGTGCGAGAAGACCCGCTCGGTGGCTCACCGGCTGTCGACGTGTGGCCTGCGAAATCAGGAGGCGTGCGATCGACGCCCATAGGGCGAAACACCGAAAACGCTCAGCCAATGGTTAGTCCTGTTTTTTTGAGGGGTCCCTTTTCTTTTTTGAGGGGTTGTTTTGAAGGGAAAAGAGAAACCAACTGGCTTGTTAGGCCCCAAGTTTTTTTCTCGGGTCCTGGAGGCTGCTGTGGCATCTCTCGGGAAACTCTACGAGAAATTGAACGGCATCATTTGCGAGTGCCTGGGTTGCAAGCGAATTCAACCTAAGTTGCTCACATACGCTGATTGAGCCCATTGAGCCACGCGGAGGGTTAACGCCGCCATTTTCAACGCGAAGCCGTTTGAGTTTTACGAGAAGCTGTTTGCTGGACACAAGGTGACGATTGAGGCTGGGTGGCTTTTCGTCAGCTCAACCGTTCTGAGTTTGGCGCGTGGCGCTTGTCAGGCTGCAGTTCGGGATGTCCAAGACGCAGAGGTCATTACCAACGCTCATGTGCGACGCGCTCTGCCTAGTTGGTTTGGGCTCATCACGAGAGTTTGTCAAAAACAACGCTCTGTTCTTTCGCTTGCCCTTTTGAGGCGTGGAGATGCAAAAGCGCAAAGCCGACAAAGCGGCTGAAAAGGAAGGCAAGAAGGCAAAGAATGCCTAGATTGCTGTAGGGTTGCTCAAATTGCGCTGCAATTTGTAGTGTTTAGGGGGCCCACGCGTGCCTGCTAGCTTTAGACCACGGCTCAGCGCCTTTGTTGTGTTGTCAGTTCACTCCAATTTTCAGAAGGCGGTGACAACTGTCGCAAACAGTTTGGGGGCAGGCTGAGCTGTACAGGTAGCAGCAGCGTGCCTTGCAGGTTACTGCAGCTTGGGGAAACGCTCAACACACGCTCAAGCGAGCTCGGAGCTGAAAGCGATCCATTGCGAAAAGAGTGCGAGGCTTTTGCCCCACGCATTCGGGCACGCTGCAACATTGCATCAAGAGCGGGTTGCCTACACACACGCGCAGGCTCAGGCCCCAAATGACACAGTTCAAGAAGTTGACTTGCAAACCTGTTAGCTAAGAAGCTTCGCTCAGCACAGGGTTGGGAACCTTCTTCATGTCATTGAACCTCAACGCACAAGGCTCTGGGATGGAAAAGCAACTGTACTGTTTTTCATCAATGTCAGCAGTTGCAGAAATCATCGATGGCCTGGTGCGCGAGATCCTTGACATGCTTGGCAAGGGCGAGGCTCGCCCCCCAGCGCATGCCATAGCGCTGCAATTGTTGAACAATGGCACTAGTCTTGTTGGCGTCGTCCCTGAGATGAAGTTGGAAAGACTGAAGAACATTTTGGCCCGGCTGCGTGGCATGCCTTCATGCTTGGTGCCGAGCTCTGCCCGCACATGTGTGAAGATGCTTGGTCCAACCTGCCACCTTGAGTTGAGCAGCGCTTAGGAGATCAATCATGGATTTAGCAAATCGGGCTCATGGAGCCAGAAACTCCTGGAGCATTGGGAGACCCCTGATGCAGTGGACCAGGCGCCAACCCTGGAGACCCTTGATTAGAAACTCATGGTTTTAGTGCTTGTGTCTCAAGCCCATGTCTGGAAACGGCGCACTGAGGAGCTCTCCTCCCTGAAGCCTTCAAGATTCGAGTGCCATGCGTGCCTTGCCGATCAGGGCTCGCAACTTCTTTTTTGGTTTTGGGGAGGGCAAGCGTCCCAAGCGAACCTGGGACTGAAACAAAAACCAACCCCAGACGTTTCAAAGCCACGCAAAGGGATATGTTCATGTTTGAGGTTCCATCTTTTCAGCTTCTCGTATCAAAACAACCCAAGCACCCTGATGTCCCAATTTGCTCAAAAGTGTTCGGTTTACACGTTTTTGTTAAGTTTGCAGCCAGCCCCTCCTTGACCGTCTTCGGGCATGTTTGTACCCCTGACCCTGTGGACCCCAACACCGCTGCTTTCCTTACAAAACAGAGAGGGGCCAGTTTAGGGCGTTTGCGGCCAAAAACTTTTCTTTACCCCGATGATTCAATCATTTGTGGCCCTGCAACATGGCCAAAGGCCACGATGGCCAAGCTCTTGTTTGACCAGCCTGGTTTAAATACACCCGACAATGAAGCTTGGGGCCCCTGTTCCTTCAGCTGCCTAAGAGTGGCTGAATTGGCATTTGGCGGCGCAAACCTTGTTTGATTGGGGCGGTGTTGAGCGGCTCAAAATCATGGAGCTGCAACACGGGTTGCTATCCGCTTCTGGTTCCCTCCGGCTTGACTTGAGGAATACCCTGATGATCAATCTCGCCATCAGCGAAGGGAATTCATTGATCAGCATGTGCTCCTACCTCACGAAGTGATAGGCGCGCTCCATAAGACTCCCGCAGTATTTCGGGAACTTGTGGCAGGGCAGCCGGGGGCCGTTTGGCTGCCACGAGTTGTGCGAGAATTTGGGGAACAACGGCTAGCCCTTGTTGCAGTTTCCAATCCAAGGCAATTCAGCAGTATTGGAAGGAACATGAGAATTTGCAGTGGTACAAAGAGCATCCGGTTCTGCAAGTGCCTTGGCAAAAGCAACTACTTGTTTCGCAACAGCACTATTGATGTTGTCACAACTAGCCACATTCCTTTTAGGCTTCGGACCCGTCCAACATCATCCCTTTGAGATTTTTTGGAGATGGCGCAGAAGCTTCCCGAGCCTTGGCTTCGGATCCCTTGCATGCTAGAGTCTGCTCGAACACGCATGTTTTCTTCAAGGGCCTTCTTAGCTTTTTTATGAAAATCAATGGTCGGACACTGAACCTCACAAGACCCTTGTCTCAGGAAGGCAACACTTTGAGGTGATGAGCTTGCTGACGGTTCTCAGCGGGAAATCAGCTACAGTGGACACACGGATCTTGAGCCTTTTCTTCACCATGCCTGACCAAAGCAATTCCTCGCCGCAAGAAACAACACGGACACCCCATCCACAAGCCGCTGTTTGCGCCAAGGATCACATGCCTCAACACGGCATATTGCGGCGCCCGAGCAAGAGAAATCATTTTGGAACTGGTGGCATGGAGCTTCCAATCGCTGGGCCACGCGTCTGCATTTTAGGGCTTGGTGTCGGTGCCAGGCTTTGGTTGACGTTTTGTAGTCCTTTTTCCGTTTGTTTGCAATGTTGTATCCCCAAACGCGCACTTGCGAAGTAGAGAGCGCAACCCGTGGCAACAGCAATGAATGTGACAGACTCTGTTTGAGAGTTCGCGCCCCCAACTGTTTCCGTTTATCGCGAAAAGCGTTTGGATTTTCGCAACTTTTCGCTCGAGTTAGGTAAAGGTGTCTATCCAAGCTGCGACCCATACGGATGCGCTTTTTCTGAATCTTACATGCCGGAGCGGTACAAATTGGCGGGTTTGCAACTAGCCGGCGGGCTTTGCTTTGTTTTGGATGGGGTCCAAGCGGACCAAGACTACTGCAGGCTTGCCTTTACCCTCAACAAGTTTTTCTCAAAAACCGAGTGTTGCGCGTACTGCGGGGCCACATCTGGCGGCGGGCAGAGCAGCGAAATGCTGTACACAAACTTCAACCCTGCGGCTTTGCACAGAACAACGCACATTGCGACCTTGGACGAATGGATCCGCGTGCATGGCGACAGCCCTCTTCTTGCAGCCCCAGGCTTTTTGCCACATGCTCGGTTATTTCCGGATTGGATGCACATAACCGACCTTGCCATCGCTCCAGACTTGATAGGGTCGTTGTTGTTGGACGTCAGCGATGATAGTGCAGTGTTTGCTGCTTCTACACGCGATGAGCGGCTGAAAATGGCCTTTGAATCTTACCGCAAATGGTGCAACCAGAACAATGTGCAGGACAGGTGCATGTCGCGTATGTTCACCACGGCAATCCTAAAACCGGGCATCAGTTACCCTCACATCTCGCAGCGAACTATGTCGGGGACTGCTTCGCGATTTGTCATTCAGTGGCTGGCTGGCTTGATGCGGCAGGTTGCTCGCGTTAACCCTTCAGCTCAGCGCAAGCGCCTTTTCTTGAGCACTGTAATGCGGGAGGTCTGGGCGGTGGTTTTCAGCTGTTAAAACAAACAGGCTTGCTGCCGTGCTGTTGGGTGGCGTGTTAGGGCCCCTGCTTTTCTTCGAGCTTACAAAAAACAGTTTCCATTCGAAGTTTTCAAACAACTGAAGCCGCTAGCGATTTTTCGATTTTGCATCTAAGGCTGCAGGCTGGTGTAGTTTGCGGCCTGGCACTGGCGGCGGAAATTATGGCGCGAAACGGGCGCATCCTGACGGCGTCGGATGACAGGCTTTTTAAGCTAGCCTTGCAGGCCACTGCTTGCGGCTATATGAAATTGGCGGCCAACGCGCTTTTGCAGCGCAAACTTCGTTGGAAAGTCAGACCGAAGTGGCATCAGCTTCTTTGCCACCTGGCGCCCATGACTCCCTTCAACGCGCGCTACATGTCCAATTACTTAGACGAGGATTATGTCCGGAGGGTAAAACAGTTGGCCTCGCGATGCACGCCTGCGAGCATGAGCTCCGAAGTGTGCATGCGGTACAGTGTACAGATTTGCATGCGTTGGGCGTCGCTTTACGGAGGCGGGGTGAACCTGTGAAAAAAGGCACCTTAATAGCTGCCAGCTTTGCGCCCTGCGTTGCTTGATAAAGTTTGGGGCAAAACCTTTTGAAGCTGCAGGTTTGCTTCCTGCAAGGACAGGTCTTGTTTTTCTCGACCCTCCTTGCTCTGCAAATACGTGCTCCTGTTTGAGCACGCGCGCCAGCAAAGTCACAGCCCGGGGCCACGTAATCATGTCGGGTCAGAGCTATATAGAACACTCTTCTTTCTATTTGTTTGTCGTTGCAGACAGTGGGTTTTTGCAGGGCAGCCCGCCCAAAGCACGCAGAGAATTTTCCGAGCCATTTTGAAGGCCAATTAACCTGGCCATTTGCGTAGAGTGAACAAACGGTTTTCCAGCTAAATTTGGATGACTTGGCTGTGAACAGTGGGGGTTCCAGTTCTATTTCTTCCCCTATTATGTCCGCCGCTTGCTTTTTTCGCAGTGTGTGTGTGCATTACACAACGAACACGCAGAGGCGCGCTTGCGCTTCAAAGAGCTGCGTCAACTACTCAGCCGCAGAAGGTTTTTTAACACACTATAACACACTAACTTAACCCCCGAACAACAAAATCCTGCAAAAAACAGATTGGAATTCCTTCATCATGGCTCAAGGCCTCTTTCAATACAGATCATACTCGCCGTAGAAAAAGGCCTCGCTGCGCTCGCTCTCAGCCACATTGTATTGACCAGAAATTTCCACAAGAGTGTCAGCCACCAGGTCATCAGATTCTCGTTGGGACGGATCAGGCCATAGAGACTGCTGCACAGGGGCGTCTCCTCCTTAAGCATCAGGCGCCCAGCACAGGCTCAATCTTGGTAGCGGAGCAGGTTTTTTCCGTGAGATGGAGAGGGTTGCTCTCAGTCTTTGTGGGCCTTGAGCCCAACATGTTGAACATATCTGCCTGGCTGCAAGAAGGCAAAGGTTCCATTGTACCACAGCGCACACCTTTTAGGGCCGGCGGTGCTCACTTATAGTAGTGGCCCAATTAAAACGTTTACAAGGGTTGGCCTGCCTGTGTGTGTCGTGTGCTGCGTGCGGCGCCTGCTGCGAGCCATCGAGCGGCAAAAAGCTTGTCGGGCATGGGTTTGCTAGTTTTAAACTTCCAGCGGCGCTCTGCTGCTGGACAACTCGTCCTGGTTTCAGGGCTTGGGTACGCCCTTTTTTAAACGAGACGCATACGTCCATGATGGCAGGGGGCTTCAAGGTCCGCTCGGCGAGCACCCTCAAAATACCCCAGCTCCACCGCACCTGCTTCTACCACCTGCATGGGGCCGCACACCGAGAAGACATCTCCCAGCACGACAAGTGACCGGATTCGCCAAGAAGTGGTGGAACTCCACAAGAAGCACGGACTGGTGGCTGTGATGAACCTGGCGTGGAAGGACAAGGCAACGAAAAAGAAACAAAGCAAGCGTGATGCAGGGCAATACCTTTGTAACCTATTTACCCCCACGACGGGCAAGAAAACAAAAAAACGTCTGCCAGCACATGTGGTAGAACCGCGGAGCACCGCGCTCCGACCTCGGGCTTCAAGATCGTGCTATCCAGCGCTGCAACCTGGCCGGCCAGGCGAAACCGCCGAAGGAACAAGAGTCGACGGGCAGACAAAGAGTCCCAACAAAAGGAAAGCCGGCCCGGCGCGCCTCCTTGCCGTGCACCTCCGCACTTTGCGGCGCAGCGCAAGGGTCCTGCAAAGAATGCCACAGCACCGTGGTGAAAGTGAAGGCTCTGTGGAATATGAACAACTCTGCCTCCATGCACATGTCTGCCCAGGAGGCGTTGCCGCTGAGGACCGAGGAGCCAGAACGGACCTGACATGATTAGGTCAGCTTGCTGGGGCGTAACATCGCAGAGGGCCAAGCCGCTTCCAACACCGTGCGCGAAGACCGGCTCACCAGGTCGGTTCTCGATGCTTGGCCAGAGGCTACACAGGCGCTAACTGCAGGCGAGGCACACTGCAGTAGCATCCGGGGCCTAACGTAACACGACCAAAGGGTTCACGACGGAGGGGCGCAGGATCGAGCCTCGCCGGTGACGCAGTCAACGCCCTGCGCGGGACAAAGACTTTCAAGACGCACGGCGTTAAAACGGAAGCAGCCCCCATGCCTGGAAAGAGTTGAGCCTGAAAAAGCGAGCCATGATTCGAACAAAACAGAGGTCGCGAAAGCACAGAGAGCAGAAGGCTAGCCAAATGCTCGGCAGCCGGGAATCGAAGTATCGCGAACCAAATCACACAGCCCTCTCCCCACCCGTCGGAGTGTTTGCTGGATGTTCCGGCGCGCACGTCGTAGGACGTCCCTCGGCGCAGATTTCTGCATCGTTCGAATTACGGTCAACCGGAATCCGGCCGTTGGCCTGCCCTGGCAACCGGGACCCAGCCCGGTCAGCCGGTCAACCGTAGCCTGGCCCGGTCACCCAGCCAACCGGGACGGTCAGCGCGGTTGCCCGGTTGACGGTTGGAAGGTGCCCGTCACCGCCCTTCTGACTTCTTTGGAGCAGCAGTACACTATGGCAGCAGAACACAAGCAGTACGCAATTGGTACAGCGGCACAGGAGAGCCTCTACATCAGCAATTTCATCAAGGAAGCATTTGAGGTACGCACCAACATCAGGATACACACAGACAGCAGCTCAGCAAAATCCATAGCAATGAGAGAAGGTACATCAAAGAAAGCAAAACACATCGAACTACGACACCTCTTCATACAACAACTTGTCAACAGCAAAATCATCACAACGCACAAGGTAAAATCAGAAGACAACCCAGCTGACTTGCTAGCAAAGTTTGTCAGCTGGAGGGTGTCAACAAGCACTTGTACAACGTTGGCCTGTGAGGCCACACCACAACAGTTTCACACCAGTGAGTACAGTAGTCAGCACAGGTTGTTCAACAACAGGTGCACAGTTCACACGTGTTTGTTTTACGAACAAACGGCCGGCACATGCGCTTTTTAGCTTTAAGTTAGATACAGCCATGGATCAACCCTGAAGCCTCTACAACCCCCTTTTACATCTTGTGGGACAACAACTTTTGCATGACATTCTGTACATGTTTCTGACAATGGCTCAGTATATGCTGCAGCCATTTACATTTGAGGTCTACAGGAACCTTAGACACTCGGCCTTTACATCAATGGCACATCGCGCATACAAGACTTTGCATCCACTAATGATGGCTCCGGACGGATTTACCTTGGAACCGGTGGACGTCATCGTTCCGACTACACCGGAGGAACCCCAGGATTACACTACGGCGTTGGTCCCACTTACAGCGGAACAGTACAACTTCATGACGGCAACTCTTACAACGGAGCAGAATCAGGTACAAAAGATCCCGGGCTACATGCGACAGCACTTGAGTACATCAAGTACATTTTGCCACAATGGCACACCGCAACTCGTGGTACAATTGATCCGACAGCAAGGGACATCGATGTACAGTACATCTGCTTTCTGGCTAACAGTTTTACGTGCAGTGGTTTCTTACATCATCCCGATCCAGAAGGACGTTTGTACATTTTTGCAAAGTGTGCTAACATAGCACAATTTGAGGAGGGGTGTTAAATACATAACAGTCTTGTACAAATCGCCTACATGTGACGACCGTTAATGTCGGTACAAGGCCTTGAGCCTAGCCCATGCCCGCAGTACAAAAGCTTACAACCGTGCCGTGTCGTTCACATCACAGGTCCAACACTTCAGGTCAACAGGTTCTACATTCACAACATTGAGTTTCACATATATGTTTGAATAGCCTGAATCCAAAAGGTGTCCAGATCGCCCCAAAGGCAAACGGATCAGAAAGCCAAGAAACCTGAATCACGCTCTCTTGCCACAATCCAAGTTGGATACATCAGGGGCACCAGGAAAAAGACATGATTTGCCCATGTGGGTTGGTGTTTAGGCTTGAACCAATCTAGTTTCGTACAGTGCAGGGAGCACATTCTACAAGAACATGAGTTAACAATTGATTTGTGCTGTTTAAGGGAACCCCAAACATGGTTGGTGTCCTTTTGGTCTCCCCCCCCCCAAAAAAAAAAAGGGTAGCCTCAACAAAAGAAACACTCCCAGATAAGTTGAGTCCAAGAGGATCTGCTCTGACCTCCGAGCGGCTCCGAGCGGCTCCGCGCCTGTCGGATCAGCGCGGGGTTGCCTTGGAACACCGAGACCAGGGGTCTCAGCAGCTGTCGCGCCCGCTCACGCGACAAAGCCCGCGTGGCAGGCGATGGGGAAGCAGCTCCTGCCCAATTGGGTTGGCGATGGAGCTTAGGTCACAGGAGTTGCATATTGTACAGGGGTTGGTTTGTTCAAAGTTGTGGCTTGGTAATACACTTATTGTCAAGGAGCTACCATCTGAATATGTTTACTAACTGGTGCAAGCATTTTAAATTGGCTTTTTGCTTCTCTCTGCAATCCATCTTTATTACACGTACAGTAGAATTGCTTCTGTTGGTCTTGGCTCCCTTAGCCCCTGCGATGGCTCAAATTCCCTGATCAAAACTGTTTCATGACCGTGCCTACCAACATGGTGTCCTCGGCCGTATAGCCTTTTGGAGGGTGCCTTTTGGGGGTTGTTTAAGGGGAACAAAAACAGGGTTCCGTGCGATAAAGTTACCCAACTGGGTCCGGGGAACCCCCAAAAAACACTTCGCCAACTTGCACAAGCATTTTGCACATGTTTCGAGATCCCACCCACCCAGCCAACCCACCCACACCCAACTAACCACCCAACCAACCACCCCCTCATGTCCCTTTCTCTCCTCCGGGCAGCACATCCTGCAGCGTGAGCGGGCGATGGCACCGCTGCGCGAAGAGCGTGGCAGAGGCCAGGGCGCTCAATGGTGGGAGCTCCACATGCACCGGCTTCACCTCTCATCTTTCGAGAAGGGCACTCGTTGTTTGGTTGGTTCTCAAGGAAACTAGAAGGAAACCACACATTTTTCAGGTCTGAGAAAACAACACACCCACCGGGAAAATGGGGGAAACTGAAACTGGGTGTTGTGGATTGAAGGTGCGCAAGTTGAGGGATAGCTTCCCAATTACTCTCAACAAGAACCAGGGGCTCAAATCTCTCAGCCACCAATCCAAACCACGAACTAAGGGTGAACTGTTTTCGTAGGCTTTACCCCAAAGGGGCGCTTCCATCCCACTGTGTTGATGTTTGTCTCTGGCAAATTGGGATAGACTTGTTTTGGGGCCCAAGTCAAAGGGGGAGTCCGTTTTGGGGGTAAACCAGAATTGACTTCACCTGTTTAACAAAAGATGGATGCAAACCCATGTCCCCTAGCGGAACCCCAAAGCACAAATACCGTTTGGTGTCTTTGTTTTTGGGTACCCGTTTAGGGTTGGTTTAACCTTTTGCCCGACCCAGGCATGTTGAAACATTCGTGAAACCATGACTTGCTGGTTTTTAGCAGGGAATGGTTTGAGGCTTCTTTTGGGAAAGCTGTGGATTCCATTAAAGTAGCAGGGGAGAACCGAAACCTGCGAAACCATAAACACGTGCTGCTACTTAGTGAGAAATAGGGCTGTTCCAAAAGGTTACACAACGGCCGTAAAAATGTGTCACCAACATCAACCAAAAGGACACCAAACAAAACGCAAACCAAAAGGAAGCCCTGAAAAAACTCTCTGGAAAGGGTTCAAATCAAATTCTAAATCGAATTCCAAGAATGGAGTTTAGGGCAAGACCCAAAGAATGACGAAGGAACCTCGGTGACCCAAAGCAAACCACCGATTGCCTGGTCCTGAAAGAGGTCCCAATGAGGGTACCGGCACCCGACCAGCAGGAAGAAATCTGGGCACTCCAAATTCTTCCGCAGCAAGTCCTGCGGATGTGGAAAACGAGGCTCTCGTCCTGTTTGGGGCGTTGTAAAAGAGGGACACCAGACCGAACACCCGGCATGAGGGGGTCAACAGATTCTGAAACGCACAATGAACCCAAAGCGAAGCATTGTCGGTCGGCCACGGACAGCACTGCTCTCAGTGATCTGCCATGCCGAGTAACAAGCAATTGCCCCAGTCTCTGCTGCCTTTCGCAGCATCCCACTCCAGGACATGTCATAAGAGACTTTCTTGTTATTCTGCCCGCCAAGCAAGATTTCCTATGTTTGCCCGGCTGTGGGTTGGTAGACCGAACAATGGAACCTCAACTTCAGTGGGCATGTGTGAAGAAAGAGGCCAAAGCCATTTGCTTTCGTTTAGGCTTTCCTTTAAACCAAGGTAAAAACCATGCGGAGCTTCCAACAACCAAGCCAGACCCAAGTCTACTTTTGGGTCAGCAAATACTGGGTATGTGACAAGAACAGGGCACTCCTAAAACTGTTTGGTGTCATTTAACCTTGAAACTCGGCAAACCGTAAAGGGTACCTCAATTCAAGCTACACCCCAACAAGCAGCGCCAACACCCATGGACTGGTGGTTCTACTAAGATGTTTATCCAGGCTTGATAATCAACATGAATGAATAATAATGGTAATAATAATAATCATATAATAATAATAATAAAAATAAAAAAAAATAATAATAATAATAAAAATAATAATAATAATAATAATAAAAATAATAATAATAATAATAATAATAAATAATAATAATAATAACAATAATAATAATAAAACTAATATAATACTAATAATACTAATAATAATAATAATAATACTAATAATAATAATACTAATAATAATAATACTAATAATAATAATAATAACAATAATAACAATAATAATAATAAATAATAATAATAATAATAATAATAATAATAATAATAATAATAATAATAATAATAATAATATTAATACTAATAATAGTAATGATAAATCATAACAAATAGTAACAATAATAAGAAACACCTGCAAAAAAGGCCAACAGGCACCAGCTTTGGGCACTGCTCAAATGCTTCTGATAGAATCCCAAAAGCTCACGTCCTGATGCTTAGTCAGGGCGGCGTCCGCATCATCCAAGATCAGAAGGCCATCTTTTACCTCGCGCGGTCGTCGCACGCCGCGTTCGTAGGAGAGGTGGTTCCCGTCTTCGGGCTTTTCTTGACCAGACATTGGGTGACCAGTTGAACGTTTATTTTTAGAGGTGGATCCCTTTCGGATAGCACACTGTTTGTCGAGTGCAAGCCCAAAAGTGTGAACATGTTAGGCGAAAACCCGTGCATCAGCTAACAAGCCCAGTGATTCCAATAGGGAACCGTAAGCAGGGGAATAGCCCTCACCCCAATGTAACCCACTTACCCACACCACCCCCGCCGTTTGAACCAAACATTTAGTTACCTACAGTGGAAAGCTGAAACGACACCTGTCATCTTTCAGTGGGGGCGGGGCTTCTGTTTGGCTGTCCAAGATCAGTGCACCCCCTTTCTGGATAAGGGAAACCACTGGAGTTCCCATTCTGTTCTCAAACAAAGTGTTTTTTTCTTCTTTTTGTTTCTTCCCATTTTCCGAAACCAACCACTTGGGGGTTTGCGTGGTTTAGCCTCAAAATGGGCCACGGCTCCCACCCTCAATGAACAAAGGGGTCCTTGCGTGGTTTCCATTCACCGGGAACCAAACTTCTGCCCCGGGGGCTGGATCAGCCTTGATGGAACCACATCCCCATCCTTTTGTAAGAAAATCAGCCCACCCACCATTGGTTTCACATAACCATGGTTGAAAACTCCAAAAGAACGGTGGAACCACCCCCAACCCCCTCTTTTGCCAGATCCCAAGCAACCCGCTTAGAGATCACCCAGCGTACCGCTTCCCGTTTTGGGCGGTCGGTGCCGAAGCCAACGCCCAACGCCTCCTGCGCTTGTCCGAAGATGCAGCGCTGGGCGAAGCGCCGCCCGGGGACTGACATGTAGTGAGCGATCTCCAGCAGCAGCGCGGTTCGGCCCAGGGACCGCTGGCAGTGCAAAACCTTGACAGCTGGTGGCTTGGTCGCGGGGCCCAAGGAGAAAAAAAAGGGTAGCAGTAGCAGAAACATGTTGGTTCAAAGGTCGGGAAAGGTGTAAAATGATGTGGATGAGGAAAAGCATGTGGATTTAGGGTTGTGGATTTTCAAGATTAAAAAGTCGCCCCCGGACCAAGGGGGCCCAAGTAGGGTGGCAAACACGTGGTACCATTGTCTTCACCTGGGCTCCGAACGAAGGGCCCCTTGAGAAACCAGCAGTTTTACCTTGGATCCCTGATATTCAGCTTGGGATTTCGGAGGTCCAGGGCCCAAAGAGGTGCAAAAAGGATGGGGCATAATTAGATCTCCACGGGTCGCCAATTGAACTCATGCCCAAAGCGAAGCCCTTTAAAACTCCAGATGCATTTGTGCAAAGCACGCAACACGGTATATACCAACCCTTTTCAGTAGGGGGGGAAATCTGGGCCGACCGAATTTATCCGGCCCCGTGCAAAAAGTAACAACGCTTCGCTGGTTGAAAGGGACCAGCCAGACTTTGTTGGCAAGGCAACATAGGCAGCATAAGCATTTAGGTTTACCAACCATTTTGGAGGATTGCACGATTGCGCTGCTTTGGCGCCACTCTTAGATAGAGGGCCAAAACTGATTGAAATTATGCACTAGACTTAGACCCCTGCAATTGCAAGAAGTAACAACTTGCTGCTGGTTGAAAGGGAACATGCAGGAAACCGCAAACGTGAAACGGTACTGTACTTCTGCAATGAAACCACCACCCGCCGTTGCGACAGCAGCTGCAGGATATCGTACAGGATCTCTTCGCGGCCAACAAAGTCCTCCACCTTCCGGAAAGAAAAGAGCAACACACAGTGCTTTAGACTCTGTAGACCCTCTGGAGGGAAAAGAACTAGGGCGTGCGGACCCCATTTCATGAAAAGCCTCGAGGGGCCCAAAGGCAAGGCCGGTCAAGAAAAATGGCTCCCTGTTTTGAAGGATCCATATTCTTGGCTGGGGAGTTCTTATTTTCAGAAAAATGCAAATTTAAATGAGAACAAGCTCCGTTTTGGTCCGTTGCTTGTTTTGTGTTGACCCCTCCAAAACATATGTTTCTGCTTGGTCATGTGCTTCCTAATCCTTTTTTGGAATGTTCTGGTATGACGAGGAAGCAAACCTTTCTTTATTTTCGGTGCGGATTCAGCCCGCGTTACGCACTTGATGGTCAGTGCCTTGACTGGTGTTTTGTTGTGCGACATCTCAGCTGTCACGTGGCCAAGTTCTATTTGGGCTATGTTCCCTTGGTGACGCCGCAAGATAATTATCTAACTTTTTTGGAACATGCATTATTCACTCGGACATGTCAAAAGAACCCCCCCGCACCCACTGAGCCTTTCGCTTTGTTGGCGAGTACCAGCCCCTTGGGGGCATGTTTTTTCGGAAGCCCGGTCCTGCTTGCATTTTGAACATGAGGGAAACCCCAAAAAGGTTGTTCAGCAGCCCTTCAAATCTTGCCCCGGCCTCCAGAAACACGTTTTCTGTTTTGGGAGGACACGTCTGATGGGGTGACCACATTGGGGGGTCTTTTTTGATGGTATCCCTTATCCTGTGGTGTTAAAGGAAACTAAAAGGACAGCCCCCCTTTGTTTTGGCGGGGGATCCCTCAAAAAAGACGAGCCACCTGTCCGTACGTTCCCGGTTTTCGCATTCCGCTTTCGCATTTCGGCGCAAGCGCTTCGGGCCTGGCTGGGCAGCGGAAAGGCCGGCGAGCGGAGGGCGGCTTTCCACTTGCACGCGGAGGTGCACTCGCGGAGCCGCACGTCTTCCGCGGCCAAGAGGCGAAACCCCGAGTCGCCCTCCTGGGTTGGTGAGATGTGGCGCAATTTCTGGATATGGATCCCCCACAAGAAAAGGAGCCCCCACAAATCGAGCATCGTTTCCTCCCACCCGACAAGTGCCTTCATGGGATATGGAACCCCCAACCAAAATCTGCGGTCTGCGGTTTCCATTTGGGGCTCCCACCGGTCGACCGAAAAACCCAACCCTATAGCCTGGATCGGGTCCACCTCCGCGCGCGCAATCTGAAAGGCCTCCTGCGCATGCTTCAGGGAGGAGGGGCGACTCAAGATCTGGGTGAATCAAAGTGACATCCTCAAAATCACCACGTGGTGGTGGTTTAAAGGGTTGCTCCAGCCCAACGAATATGCCTGAGAACCCGGCAACATGTTGTGCAACTCAAAAGGCACCCGGCCAGTCATTTTCAAAACACTCCATTCAACCTCCCTTGTGCGGGTGTTTTCCGCCTGTGTTGCACGACCATCACCCCGAAGTCTCAGTGCGTGGAGCACAGGATAATGGAAAAAGCCCTTGAAGACATATGGGTGGTTGTTGTTTTCTTGGGGAGGGGGGGACCCTTTGGTGGACATCATTTAGGTGGGGACTCATGTCCACTAATCACTTTTGAGGTGGTTCCCTATTGAAATTGATAGCCATATGGGTCGAGGAAAACAACCACCCCACTCGGACTCCTTGTGGCCTCCCTGTAAAACAGCCCAAAAAGCGGGGACTTCTTTTCCCCTTTCCTTCCCCTGACTCTGTATGTACTAATCTATGTATAGCAAGAGATATCTCCAACTTCTCTCTTTTCCAATTTGCCAGTGGCTCCAAAAATAGGCACCCGAAGTGGCAGCATGGTCAGTGGAACCCAACCAAACACCACCGTTTGGTCCTTCAAAGAGAAGCCGCAGGCCAGGTGGAGATACAGGCCGCTGGCGAAGCGGGAGGCCATGGCGTCGGTCACTGGCCGCTTGGTGTACACGATGTGCCGCACCCCGGCCGCGTAGAAGGCGGCCGCAAGCCTCGAGTCCGTCCGACTCGAGGCTGGTCGAAGCGAGCTGCTCGGGTCGAATCGCCGGGGACTTCACTGGGAATCCCCCCGAAATGCGACACGGCTGAATCCTTTCCTTGCTGCTTCCAAGCAACTGTAGCCAACTGAAAACTGAACAGAGCCAAAAACCAAAAACAAGCAACCTAGAGAAATGCCCACAACTTGCAGGGAACAGCGACCGGAGTTCCTCTTAAGTTGAAACTCACTGGTGTCCAGAAACTACCGCTTCAGGAGGTTCCCAACATAAATTTTGACAAGCCAAGTGCAAGGGCCTAAATCGAATGTCGATAAATCGAATGTCGTTAAATCGAATGTCGTTTGGTACCTCAAAGTTTTGGGTGCGTCCTCGAGTAGAGGAGCAAAGCAGTAATTTGTTTCGCTCCTTCTAGTACCCCCGGTTCAAAAGGTCTTTTAACGAGGAACCCAAGCCCACTAAGCGTGTCTCGAGAAAAGATAGGTCCTGGCAAGGGAAGGCCGTGCAAAAACTTAGAGGTACCATATGCTGGTTGCCTGCCAAAGTTGCTTGCTCAAGGTCGCTTGCTGATCGGATCTGAAAGCGACCAATCCAGTTCCCAAAAAAGTTCATGCAGGTCCATCAAATCAAGTCCCCAATGACCTGCAAGCCGCAAAGGGGAGGTCCAAGCCCCAAACATTGAGGTCCATTGACACAAATAAACACAAACACACAGACACACCGAGGGCGTTTGGGACACCCTGAGGGTGTTTGGAATCCAATAGCCATGACCCCCCCCCCATCAAATGGCTCTTGAATGGGAACCAGAGCGAAGCCTTGCCACGAGGCGACCAAAGTTCAAGAAAACGCCCATGCATTCAAGGAGCCCCCCCTTTTTCCGACAGGTTGTCACAGAAACGCGGATCTCACTCCCTTCCTGTGGCCTTATTCAGTTGGCTTCCCAGGCGCGACTGGGATTGGCAGTTGGACAGGAAGACGAAGGACCCTCTTTGAGGCTCACCTCCAGACCGAAGTAATCTCACCAGCGCTTCAAGCGACAAGGCCTCGGGATTTTCCAACGCCCAGTCACGGATACCATACGCCTCACTTGAAAAACAATCCACTACGTAACCAAACATGGCCATGTTGCTTTTGGGGTGGCTCCCTTTCTTACATATTTACTACGGTCGCCTCTCTACCTCCTGACAAACATCAACATGGCACCCCATCATGTCCAACGAACTCGGGGCAACTTGAAATTCCCGGCTCGGTTGACTTTAAGACAAAAGCGGGACAAACCCAAGAAACCGCACTTGTGCTCTGGGTTTTTCCAAAAGCGTCATTTCGGGTCTTCGTTTCAGTCCCCCGGCCTCGGTTCCACCACAGCCATCCTCCAAGACTAAGGCGTTCCCATTTTCAGTGTGAGCCGACAAATGCAGCCAGAGATCCTCCGGGTGAGCAGAGGAAGTCTGAGTTGGAAAAACGAGGAGAACATCCCCTGTGGCATGTTCAATCACTTCGTGATGCAAAGCAAGTTGCCGATTCGCCCAGAAAGATTGGACCGCCAAGTGGGCACAGTCGACTCGCAACAAAAGGCGTCTGAAAAAAACTGCTCAGTCGCCCGTGCCGTTTTGATTCGCTGCTAGAAAGCAATACATTCTGGGCTGGGACGTGTAGAAATGTTAATTGGGGACCCCTTTGGTGTATGCAGGGGGCTTAGCTCCACCAGTCTTTTTTGGGGCTCGACTGGCGAAATAAGCAACATCCAAACCGCCAGGTGAGCTAAGTCATCATGGGGTAAAACTTAGTTCAGAAGCTAACCATCCTAAAACCAATACTACTCCAACGCAAATAGAAGTAAGTTCCAAACAAACCCCCCCCTTCCAGGCGTCCATTCATGACTGTTCCAGGCTCAAGTAAACGCTCTCCTGACTCCGGTGCCTTGGTTCGGGTCCATGGGAGGATAAGTGGGAAACCTCCCCCTCCCAATCACTGGTCCAAGCCAAATCAGTGCTCCCTAGCCAACATGCAACCCAAGAAGCTCCCAAATGCAGATTCCCCTACGGGCTGCTTCTGTGCCGGGGAGTAGGACCCTCGTTCAAAGGGTCGTCTGTTTCAAGTTGGAGATGGTCTGAAAAGCTTCTGACGGTGCATTACGTTCCAAAGCATTCCGGGTGGGCACCCTACAAAAAATCAGAGTTCTGAATTCACCTCCAACTTCCTACAACTTCCGCTAAAAACTCCGGGCGGTACTCGTTGAGGGTACCCCTTTTTCGTTTGGTTTCAAGGGACACCAAAACGACGCCATTCTTGGGGCTCCAACCAGGACAACGCTCCATCTTGGAGGTCCCTTATCTTAGGACACCTACCCAGCTACGTGTTTCTTCGGGTTCCTCCCAGTGTCACTCAGCTTGCGGGGCCTAAAGGCCCGTCCTCCGTCTTAGCCTTGGTCTTGGCCTTCCGGAGGTTGTGGATGGAGGCCACGTCCACGTCCACACGGAGCTTCCCCGACAAGGCCTTCTCCACCGCCGCCAGCTCTTGGGAGATCCTCCCAATCGAGGGCAAGGCAAGCGCCGACTGGGGAGAAGGTTTCAGTTTTGGGGAAAAGTCGGATGGGGGATTTCCAAAGCCGGGGGTCGAAAAGGAAACAGTGGGGGTTAGAGAAGCATGGTTCACCCAGGAGTTTCATCATTGGGTTCCACGCTGAGAAAACCCTTCGCCTTTTCCTTTGGGGGGGGGGGGGAGGATGGGGGTATGATATGGGGCGTTCCCCAGTCTGAGACTTGCCAAACTGTTTGATGCGGGCCCTGGGGTTCCAACGGGCCCCAAAAAATGCAAAAACATGGGGTCGCGTGTTCCAAAAACCAGGGGTGATCCAAACAGGTGAAAAACCAATTCCCGATAATGGATACACGTGGTTACTAGCCTGGGTGGTAGCCATATTGGCCTTACTCTTGGACACAAATACTGTATAGCTTGACGGGTTCAACCCATTTCCATTCAAAGAACGGCCAATTTAGGGAATGAAGCTCCTGAGACAAACAATGTGGCTAACATCTCATGGTTTTAATCGTTGGAATGCTCCCAGGGAACCCTTCAAACAAACTCACCTTTTCGGGAAACTGGGAGATCGTTGCATGTCCAGGCTCTGAAGCTAAGGTTAGATGGCCAAAGCCTCACTTTAGGCCAAGCAATGTGAGGTTTGCCACTAACACAACACCTCATGGAAGAAACAGGGCGCAATTGTGGGCGAAGCCTCGGTGTTGTTTGTTGTTCTTGCATTCTCCCACATTTTGCCCCGCCTGGAACAAGATGAAACATGCCAATGCCCTGTTTGCAGTGTTTTTGGGAAATGACAGTCATAGGCTATTCGGCAACCAGGTATTGTGGATTGTTCCCGCAAAAATCAGGGCCTTGCGGTTCCCTTCCTTTCCAACCAACTTGGGGGCCCACCCAACAAAAAGGGAATCAGCCAAAATTTGGGTTGACATGTTTTCAACTAGTCAGAGTCAATAGGGCATGGTTCCTTCGACTCCTTCTGGCTGAATCCATCTCAAAATAGAAGATCTCTTTCCAACCAAAACCGGACTGTCAAAAAAGGGAGCCACACCCGGGTCCCGTGTTGGTCCACGTTTGTATTTCTGTTTTCCGCAACTTCCCGGGTGTTTTTGTTTCCCCTGGTTTTCCTTCGTCGCAATCCGCTTTATTTTTTGCGCCAGAAATTCCGCGCCTGAGGCGCCGGAGGGGCACTCGCATGCACTCCCCGCAAGGGCCCCTGGTCAGCCAGCAGAAGGGCGACGCGTGCAGCAGCAGCAGACGCTTCGGCTGCGCCTCTTCTTGCCGTTTGGCCAGGGGTTGCATAACCTATGGAAAGATCCCATTTTGGGGTGGATGAACATCCATTTGCCACCAATTTTGAGGTTCACCAGGGGTGCAGGATTTTGACCCACAGTTGTTTTTCTTCCACACAAATGGTCGATATTTATCGCTGGTGGTTGGTACTTAAGGGGATATCAATATGAACCCAACCATCTTGGGCCAAATAAGAAACTTGTGTTGATTTATTTTGATTTATCTGAAACCAACAAGTTTAGGGGATCCTATCTTGGGGTTACCCAAACAGAAACGGGGTCTTTTATCACCCTTCTGGATGCACCATGCTCATTTGCTTGAATGGGACAATTCCGAAACCAAATTCTGGGTGCGGCTTCGGTCAACATGTCCAGACTAAACATGGAACTCGATATTAGCCTGTATGTTTAAACCAAAAATATATTATCCAAAAGTGGGTCTTTTAAGTGTTGCTTGTTCTCTTGAACATGCCTAATCCTTCTCCTCATTCCCCAAAAATAACTGGCTACTAAAAAAAACACGGCTTGTTTCTCCATGCGCCACCCGGATGCCAATCTCCGACGCCCATCAAACGACTCGCCCCCGTCCCCTCGCCTCGGAGACCTGCGGCGTGGAAGCCTCATCCCCGGTTGAGCCCTCCAGCTCCGGCAGCTCCAGCTCCAAGCGGCTGGCGCCCGGGCGCATGCCGCAGAAGCGGTCGAAGTACATGGCTTGCAATTTCCGCACCGCGCGGCTCTCCTTTCGCGTCGCGGCGCGCGGCGCGCGGCGCGCGGCGCGCGGCGCGCGCGAGACCGCGTCTCGCGGCTTCTCGCTGGGGTCCGGAAAAGAAGAAACAGACCTCCAAACACAGCACCAAAAAAAGGGGACGCCTTCCATGAAAAGGGAGGTCACACTCTACCTTTTTTGAGTTGCAAAAGGTGACGGCCTCAATTTTGGGGTTTAGGATTCGTTAATGTACCCAAACGCAGGTCGGTTTGATGTGTTGCCCTTCGCAGTTCCTTTTACAGGACCGAAAGAAAGGAGCGGGAGGCGACATGTTTCGAGTTCCTGGAGCACCCCTGGCCAAGGAAACTTCACCAAAACGGATATTGTGTACGCCACACTTTCGGAAGTTTAGAAATAAAGGTGCCCCCTCCAAGCAGGTTCTCCCCAGTACTTGGCCGAGCGAGTGGACCCCTGCAAAATGGTTTGCTGCTGAAACGGGGCAAAAGGAGCAAGAGGGCAAACTTGCTAGTTCACTCGTCTGGTTGTGAGGAACGAGAGGGACAGCGAAACAAAAACACTCCTTGCGCTCCGAATGGTCTGAAGGGACCCAACCCACCGACCCCCAAAAGGCCCCTATATGCCGGGGTCGCTGGCTTTGGGGTTTGGCAGGAAAGTCCAGTTTGATTAAGCAGGAATGAGTGAAAGCCTGCAGCCATTTGCCTTACCCGAAGGCTCCTGATTGTTTTTGGGCCGAATGCGTTGCTTGTGGAGAAACAAGAAAGCAACCCTGCCGAGCGGGCCGTGCTGGTTTCCCTTGAAGCTGACGTGGAAAAAGCCTGACGTGTGGTGGTGGTGCTTTCATGTTCTTCCATGAGAGGTGTTTCCTCCGAAAGTGCTGAATCCCCACAAGGGGACACCGGGATCCCGATCAAAATCAGCGAGAAAATCAATCCGATGTTCCCATTAGATTAATGTTGACCCCGGATTAAGAAACCCATCCTATGCCCCCAGAGTGATGATTCCCCAACAAACCCAGAGACACCCCCCTATCAATAAGCTAGGGTTGACTAATCCGGGGTGAACAGTATGGGGCTATGAGCTACCTGCTTTAGTAGGGGTTTGTAGTGATGGCTAGACAGGTGTTTATAGCGCGTACCCCTCGTTTGGTGGCTTTAAAGAGAAGCCAACAGAAAGCCGTTGCGCCATTTTGATTTTAGAAGCCCGAATCCTACCAAAAAAAGAGAGAGACGAGCCAGCCCAATGAGGAATGATCCGTGGTTAGCAAAGGCCGGTCCTCTCTTTCCTCCAGCTCCAACGCGGTTGCCGAGCTTTTCGGCACCTTGACGGAAGTGTCCTGCCACTCCACCAGGTAGATCAAACCTCGGAACCGAAACGAGCCCATTTTTTGAGGATTTGGACACACAAACATATTGTTTGTGTTTGTTGTTTCCCCTTGAGACCAACCAACAAGGGGTTCCCTAAACACACCCCAGCGGACTAGGGACTATCACGTGATTCTGCCGCGGGAAAAAAACAAAAAAAGAAAACATGGGGGTCAAGTCGCATTGGTGGTCATTCCCTTTGTATTATCCCGCCCTTTTTCCTTTCGCCACCTTTAACGCTCGAGAAAAGGTTGGGGAAAGCACAAAGGCCAGGGCGTGTTCTTTGAGGGACCTTTTTCAGGAAAGCTTGAAAAGAAAACCACAAGGTTTGAGGCGGGGGGAAAAACATGTGTTGGGGGTTCTGCATTTTTCGCTTTTTAAGACAATCCCACATGCAAAGGTAAGCCTTTCTGGCAGTGCAACTCCCGGACATGATCACGAAGATCAGGAAGTCCATACGCTTCCGCGGAGGGAGCATCAGCGCCTCGCTATCGGTTGCCAACTGCCAACCCATACAAAACGTGCGGGGGAAAAAACAACTTTCGATGGCATTGGATATGCCCTTTTTGAGCCAATGTAGAGTGAATGTCCGATGTCAGCCGGGTCTGTGGTTGAGGGAACTTGCGTTTCCATCCCCAAAGCCGCCTTTTCACCATCATATCTTCTGCTTTTGTGAGATACACTGGTTGCTCGAGAAAAACAAGAAAAACACATACATAAATTAATGTACATATTACATATATATATATATATATTGAAGCCCCCGAAAAAAAAAAAAAAAAAAAAAAAAAAAAAAAAAAAAACTGCACTCCAAACTCAGCCGTTGAAGCCCATGGATTCGGACAACTTCCACGAACACTCGGGCGATTTCGCCGATGAGAACGCCCATTCGTCGATTGCAAGGAAGAGCCCTGGGGAGCCCAGCATGGAAGTGCACAAGCATAAGCGACTTGGGGAGGGTCCCGAGAGCTTAAACTGCTCCTCCAAATTGCCCAAGCAAATGGTTGAAAGGGGTCCGGTCCCAAATCTGACCTGACGCGAGGTTCTCTCCTCCAGGTATCCGTCCGAGCTTGTGCCGTCGGGGTCTTCGCAAGTGTCCTCCGGGGGTGGGATTGAAACGTTGGTTCAAACATCCCGGCAATTTCATTGCATGGAAACAAACCTGCTCCAGGTTTCCCTTAACTTGTTCCTTCAGCCCTTAAACCTTGGAGTCAACCTCCGAGCTTTCCCTTAAATTGTTCAATTCAACCCTAGACCTTGGAGTCAAATCCATGAAATCCTTACATTTGTTGTCTTCAAATGGCACCAAACGTTGACCCAGTTTCAGGGCCAGGATCTGGCGGTTTTTGCTTGGGCTACGCAGGATGTGGGTGTCCTTTTCCCCCGTTTTTTTCTTCTTTTTGTCCCAACCAGGATGTTGGCTTCATTTTCCTCCCGCCCGCCCCAGAACCCATATCTCCTCCTCGAGGTCCGGGAAAGCGTACTGGGCCCGCCAGGTCTGGAAGGCCGCGCAGTACGCTGTCTGGTGCAGGTGCCTCGGCCCCCGAGACTCGGCCAGCGAAGTCACATGGGAAGCCAACCCTGGCAGCCCTGAACTCCAAACTCGGAAGTACCTCTGAAGCAAAAGCCGGTGAAGCAAAACAGCACGGTGCACAAAGCCAAGAAGCTGTCGACACGCTTATGGTAGAGTACATTCACCACAACAAACCCTTTTACTTGAAGTTTCTACACACAGTGGAGGGGATTTAGACAATTGAAAGGATTCCAATACAGGGAACGAAGGGGCCCATGTAGCTAACCCGCGGTAAATTGCGGCAAACATAGCCGGGAAACAACTGGTGCGTTCCCAGTAGTAGAATACTTGCAATGGTTGTCTAAATTGCCTCGAACGCCTGTCTGCAGAAACCTCAAGTAAAAGGAGTCCTTGACCATGGCAACCAGTTGAACATTACATCCGCCTTCGGCGTTTCAGAGTTGGCAGCTCCCCTTGGTTCTTGCCTTAAACATTCTCATGAACCCCCAGTTATAACCCCTTTTGCAAGACAAGGACGGGGGGGACCTTTCCTGCGCCGAGCTCCCCGGGCCCTCTGGGCCGCGCGCGCGATCCGGGTGAAGACTATCACCAGGATGAAGAGGCCCAGGCAGCGCCGCAAGTTCCGCCGGGTGAGGAAGCCCGAGACATCACGGACCTCAGGCAAAAACCCGGGCAAATGCAGCGAAGAAACCCCGGAAGAAACCCCGCGGAAGACCCTCACCCGCGAAAGAAACCCCGGGCAACCATTGATGAAGCGAAAAATGTCTGGCCATGGGAAAAGATTCTGAAGTTCTAGAGCCATGGGTGGTCAAAAGAAGAATCTGGGTGTGAATTTGACTTCACCCTTTCGTGGACATCAAGTACAAGTTCACCAACTGCTGAGGATATGGGTCAAAATCAGGGGACCCGGTTTCTTGATGGCTTCCAAAAGGTTCAAAAGGGTACTTTTGTCAAGGTGCCAATCGGGGGGCAGCTCGGGCTGGCATTGAGAGTTTGCCAGTTGTGGGGAAAGCATATTGTGTCAAACTCAAGGGAATATCCTTTTGCGGGTTGCCTCCTGTGGACTTTGGACAAGGTAAATGCAGTTCTCAGCACGTTCGCGCAAAACCTAAGCAGCCCAGGTTCCAGAGATGGATAATTATTTTTTTCCTGAAGAACCCACTTGTCTGTTCGCCCGGCCAGGAAAACGCGAAAACTGACCTCGGCTGCTCCGGGCTCCGGACGCTGGGACGGCATCGGAAAGTCCAGCTCTTTGGCCGCACCAAGGGCCCATATTCCATGGCAACCGCCCGCAAAGCCGCGGGGAACCCAGCAACAAAGACTTAGCTGAGGCTTTTCCGACCGGATGTCATGATGCAAGGTTTTCCAGGGTGCGATGTTGCCATGTATAGATCTGGAGCGATGTGCACAGTTCAGCTGAAATCAAGGACCTCAAGCAAGCAACTATTTGCCCAAACCTATGGGACCGCATCGTACACCAACTGCCAAGAGGCAACCGGATGGCTAACAACCATGTTCTGCCCCGTGTCTAACTTGAGAAACGAATGCTTCGGGTTGACATTCCACGGTTGAGCGCCCAAAACCCATTGACTGGTTCAAACCACAAGATGGCAAAGGCCAGTAGCCCGAACTGCTTCAATTAGGGGTTTGGTTGCTCCCGGGCTTGGCGTCAGATGTGCTCCCGTCGAGCCTCCAAGAAAATCCACCCAGACCTCGTTCAAAGCTGATTCTCAGGAAATTGACGAACCCCGCCTATCTCGAGAAGGCCAGATTCCACTTATCGGATCGTTCAACCAGATCACTGTTAAGGGCATGCAACCAAGTCAAAGCACTGAAGACCTGTCTGTTTCCTGAACAGGCTTTGAAGCACATCATACAAGTGAGGAGAGCGAGAGAGACCTCTGAGCACGCCACATCTGCAAGGGCACTGGTGCCGGCTTGCGCCTGCGGCATCTTGGCGCGCAATCCGCAAGAAAATATGCGACACATTGAAAGAACGCATGTTGACCTCCCCCCCCCCCCCACACCCTTCGGCAGAAAAATGAGAAGAAAAACATTTATTGAAAAAAAAAACGAGAAAGAAAGAAACACAGAGTACGAACTAACTCGTCACAGTCAAGACGTCGCATCTGAAGCTGAAGCAGTCAGGCCTCGCCTGGCTGGGGGGCGCCTGGCTGGGCGCCTGGAAAGGGCTCTCTGATTGAGGCGTTTGGGAAGTGTAACATCTAAATTTAGTCAGAACCATAGCTCCTGCAAATAGATCTCTGGCGCTTCAAATGAAAACCCCAAAAGTACTTTGGATAGTTTCTCAACATGATCTCAAAAGAAACCTCCAAAGTAATATGGATAATCTCTCAAAATGCAAGTATGGACCAACAGTGCGACCGCCGGCTTGGCGCGCATTTTGTCGCGAGCCATGTCCTAACCCCCAATTGACGACGGACTGTTGAGAGATGCGTCCGCAAGAGATGGGAAAATTGAGGCTTGGTGCTCATGGGTTTCGTGAGACATTTGAGCGCAGCCTTTCGTCCTCCTGCAACGCAAAGGACATACCAGCAATCTTTGGTCATTTGCTCGAAAGGTTCTCTTACGGAGCAATTGCTCTCACAAATTTGCTGGCTTCCAAACGAGCTTGGCAGGTATACGAAGGGTTGCTGGTGAAAGGGAACCAACACAAATGCTCCGATTTTCTACTCGGGCCACAGGAGCAACCATGTAGTACTGCCCAAGGTCGGATATACCCCAAAAATGTCACGCCTTGTTCCAGGGAGGCAAAAAACACGGCCTCAACTGGGCCCCGGTCATGTTTCCCGAAACTGAGGTCTGAACGGAAAAGTTGAACCCACCCTCAAGGTTCTGCCACGCAATGAAAACAGGCGCCTTCGCTAGAAGGTCCCTTTCAAACAACTATCTAAAACAGGGGCATCCCATCAGATTGAACAGGAAGGCTAACGGGCGTCAACAAAAGGCCACCCCCAACACCGCCGCATCTGACCTGGGTAGGCCCTTGTAAGGGAATGTACGGGAAACGCTAACTCATTGATCTGAGGCAAGGCCCTCTAGTAGGTAACTCTTCACCATTTTCGCTTTTGGTTGTTCAAGGGTGTGTTTTTTGATACCCCTCCCACCAGCTAACCTGGAAGTGCACACACCCCTGTAGAAAGACCAATTTCCTCTTGGAAAGTGCCTTTTTGCACTTCCATGTTAGTTGGCGGGAGGGTACCCAAAACACCAGGCAAAAGTAAAGGATGCACTGGGTAGGTCATTAGCCATATCCTCTGACGGTCCCGGAGCCAGGGCCCCCCAAACCCCCCGCACCTCCACGAAGGCGCCCCAGTCCTCAGCCTCAGAAACCCATCCCCGTTGGGTTCAGCGGATTCCCAGCAAAATGGGTTGTAGGCTTCAACGGCTTCAACGGATTCAACGGATTGTAGGGTTCAACGGATTGTCCAGGTGCGATAAGAATCAGTTTGCTTTAGGCGCGAGAGAGGGCTTCGGAATCGAGCTAAACTGGCAACGAATCAACAGCCATAGGATTGCAGCGAGGAAGGGGACTGTCCCGAAAGAAAGCCCTCCATATGTCATTGCGGGTTTCCCCCTCAAAATCTCGTCGGCCTGCCCAAAATAGCAGGCCCCTGCTTTCACCCATCCCCAAACGAGACCAACGAACATGGACAACAGTGGCAAACAAGGGGGGTGGAAACACATAAACAGTGCTGCCTGACAATCCAGCTGGTTACCCATCAGCAGTATACATCTTCTGACTGAGCGCGTGACAGAGTCGCCAAAGGCATCCCATTCGTTCTGCTCCGGTGATTGAGGTTCCTCCTGCGCTTCGCAAAATCCCAGGAAAAGCCAAACATGACACTCGAAATCGCAGTCGTGACTCTCCTTGTGAGGCTCAGCGGCCTTGGTTTCAAACGCAATACCAATGGGTCAGCTTCTTTTTGAGGGCACCCCCTTTCGTGGTTTTGAAGAACAACCACCAGGAACACCTATTGCTGGTATTTTAGGGGGGGGCAAAAAACACCTACATGCACACACGCTCTCAGAGCTCTGGACCAAAGCCAAGCGCCGTGCGTCCCGCTTCTCGGACGCAACCTGAGCCCAGCATTGCGCCAATCTGACAGGGCCAAGCTTGTTGCTCCCATGAGCCGCTTTATTCGCCGTGCTAACCCTAGGTGTCGTGCTGTTGCCATGTCTGCCATCCAGTGGTCCATACGCAACTGTCCATTCGCAGACTTATGTGAAGTTCGCCGTGTGTCCCTTGCAGGCGACTCAGCCATGTGACTTGCCTGCAGGCATCTGGGCGCGGGGCAGAGTCAAAGGCATCCCACTTCTGGCTTTTTGCTGGCTCTTGCACAATGGCCTGCAAGCACACGGGCATGCAATGGCCACGTCATGCCCAAACGGCCCTAAAAGCACAGTGGCTAACACCTGCTTGACAACTTGCATGTCGTGCCAAGTTTAGCACCGGCTCGTCGCCGAAGGCATCCCACTTCTGCTTGCTCTGCGGCTCAGCCACTGTGGCAGCTGCAGGGGCCTGCCAAAAATCACGGCGCGTTAGTTTTTGCTGCCGTCTCGTCAAGTGTGCGTTTCTGGCAAATCATCATCAGCTGTTAATGCCAACTCCAACAACTCTTTGCCTGCCAAAACTGTTCAAATATGAAAACCAAGCGCCGGGCGATGTCTTCGCTGAAAGCGTCCCACTTCTGCTGCTGCCCTGTCTCAGAAGCATGAACCTGCGGCAGTAAGCATGGCAGTCAACAAGGCAGGCAACACAGCAGGCAAAGCAAGCGATGCAAGCGATGCAAGCGATGCAAGCCATGCAAGCCATGCAAGCCATGCAAGTGATGCAGTGCATGGCACATCTCTAAATGGTAACTTGCCCTTGGCAAACCCGTATGTGAAAACGAGTCATGACAAGAAAGCCCCGGAAAAAGAACCATAGCAAACATACACGGCAAAACATAGAAAAGAAACCAGTAGGAAGTGATAAAGCGAAACATAGCAGCGGCTCATGCTTCAAAATGAAGCGTCAATCTTGGCCCTCCGTGCATGGTAATCAGATTGGCATCCCAGCTGGCTGTGATTTGACCACACGAATCTGAGCGGTTGGCAGAGTCAAGGGCATCCCACTTCTGGTTTGCCTTCTGCTCTTGCACAAGGGCCTGCAAGCGCTCGGGCATGCACTGGCCATGTCAGTGGCTGAGACCTGCGTGACAACTTGCAGCATGTCGCGCCAAGTGTGGCACCGGCTCGTCGTCGAAGGCATCCCACTTCTGGTTGCTCTGCGGCTCAGCCACAGTGGCAGCCGCAGGGGCCTGCCGAAATTCACAACACATCGGCTTTGGCTGCCTTCTTGTCACGTATGTGTCTCTGACGAAACAGCTGCCAATGCCAACTACCTTGTTTTGCCAAAGCTGTACTGGAACATGTCAACGACTCTGCCAGCCAAGCGCCGTGCGATGTCTTCACTGAACGCGTCCCACTTCTGCTGCTTCTCCGTCTCAGAAGCACGAACCTGCTGCAGTCAGCATGGCAGTCAGAAAGGCAGCCAAGAGAGGCAAGCAAGAGAGGCAGGCAAAGCAGGCAATGCAAGAAATACACACACACAGGCACACCGAGCGAAGCAGGCACCGCAGGCTAAGAAGGCAGCGCGGCAAACGGCAACTTGCGCTCGACAATACACTTATTCACCAGATTACGGCACACATATTGCAATATGGCAAGGGCACACACGGCAAGGCAAATCTGCTTTCGGCAAACAACTCATAGTTAGAGCAAACAACTGGACCCTATGTGCAAGGATGTGCTTGGATAGCGGACTTGCATGAAGTTCGCATGTGCCCAGCTGCCCACACGCATCTGAGCGCTTGGCAGAGTCAAAGGCATCCCACTTCTGGTTTGCCTCCTGCTCTTGCACGAGGGCCTATGGGCAACTCTGTGATTGCTTGCCATGCAACCAACTGCCTGGACAACGCAGTGGCTGAAAACTGCTTGACAACTTGCAGCATGTTGTGCCAAGTTTGGCACCGGCTCGTCGCCGAAGGCATCCCACTTCTGGTTGCTCTGCGGCTCAGCCACAGTGGCAGTAGCAGGGGCCTGCAGAAAACCACGACATCCGCAATCATCCGTTGGCCAACGCCGGTCTGCAGCATGTCCCATGACAGAGCCACTCTGCCAACAATGTCAAATGTGCAGTGCCAAGCGCCGTACAATGTCTTCACTGAACGCGTCCCACTTCTGCTGCTTCTCCGTCTCAGAAGCATGAACCTGCTGCAGTCAGCATGGTAGTCAGAAAGGCAGCCAAGAG